ACACACAAGGCCTGAGCAGTTATGGGTATTATGAGTGCAACAATGAATCTAATCTGTGACGGCATCAGTAAATTTTTTTTTTTTTTTTTACAACTTAGAATAGCAAACAAGCGGCCTATCTGATGGAAAGTGGTAGCCGTCGCCTATAAACATGAGCAGTACCATGGACATAACAGAGTATACTGTTTCGCTCATGACACCCCCCATGCGTTACCATTCCTGAGGACTCAGGTGTTATTCCTTTATACCCTTTAAATTCGCTGCCACATCCCACCCTTCAAAGCGAAACACAGCCATGCAAACATAACTGCTTCACGGTAGAAACACGAATGAGACAGAGGTGCCCAACGATTTTTGCACAAAGTATGCCTCTGGTAATGTCGTAGCTACGCCACCTTTATACTGAACAATTTTTTTTAATAAAAAAAAGAAATTAAATAAATAAATGAGTTCGATTCCAACCAACGTCTCTAGTTTGATTTTGTATTGGTAACCTTGACTGCGTATCCAGTTAATTATTTTGTTAATTCTCCTATAATTGGGAAGGATTTTTTTATACCAATAAGGCAAATAAGCATACAGCCCGTCTGATGGTAAATGGTGACTGTGACCTAATGACGCCTGCAATACCAGGAATGTCACATGTACGTAATTAGTAATTGTTAGTAATGGGGACTGGTGTCCCTCATCATGAGAAATAGCTCATTAGTACATGAGACTAGCATCCTTACGGCTAACAACATACTCATTCAGACCTTGACTTGGTCGCCCCTGGAAAACATTCTGGTGAATTCAACACGGTGGATCAATTGACTTGACAACTCGGAATCATGTAGGAATTTGAACGATGTTCCATACATCCAAATTTGTTCAATCATTTTTTTAATGGGCGATAATGGAATGGTAACCCCGCTCACGCTATCGGTATATGCTCGCAGGGCACCAATGATGGGATCACCACCAGGGATGATAGGTGACGATGAAAGCAGGTCAGTTAGCCCATGACGTAACGAATTCCACTAGAATTAACCGCGATGGTTTCCAGGAACCGCGTGGAGGTTGACCTGATAAGGTATATTGCTAGCAATGGGTCAGTTAGGACCCATTACTAACAATCCCTTTCTTCCTGTTCAGTCATTAAGAAATAATGGTGGAATAGAAAAACTTAAATACAGTAATCCCAAATAAAGTGTTATTACTGGTAACACTACGGTTCCACGTCGGAGAATATTAATCGAGGTATAATTATACGTAACGATGTAAATTAATAATGCGCTATCATTGTCTTGGCAACACCAACACCTACCTACGCACATACAGGGCTATCGTATAAACCTATCTTTTAACTGCCAGCTGTGTCTACCTACCTACCTAATTGTAGTTTGTACGGTATTAAGATATTATTTTATCCATTGTATATAATTAAATTCAGACAGTATCGTTATTTATCACTTTGTACAAAAGTTGTTTGCTTGAGCACCTCTGTCTTATTCGTGTTTCTGCCGTGAAGCAGTTGTGTTTGCATGGCTGTGTTTCAGTTTGAAGGATGGGATATAGCAGTGAATTTACAGGGTACAGAGGAATAACACCTGAATCCTCAGGAATGGCAACGCATAGGAGGTATCATGGGCGAAACAGTATACTCTATTATGTGCATGGTACTGCTCATGTCTATAGGCGACGGTTACCACTTTCCATCAGGGGGGCCGTCAGCTTGTTTGCCATTCTAAGTTGCATAAATAAATGTGTGTCCATAGTGTGTCAAAAAAATGAAGAAATCAAAATTTTTATTCCTATGGGATTTTGTTGATCATTCATCATTGCAACATCATCTTTTTGGCACTTAACTGTTGAATATAGGCCTCTCCATTTTTTTTCCAGTAGTTTCCACGCTTGACAAACGGGTTGGCAACTACCGTCAAGCTTTGGTGACATTTTAAAAAGGACGCTGCTGCCCATCCTTCGAGTCTTTACATTCCCTTAGTTGCCTCTTCCGATGCCCACGGGAAAGGAAGAAAAAAAATTTGTAATAGACATTACAAAAGCTAACAATAAAAACAAATTCTAGTCAATAAAAAGGCGTCATTCAGCATGCGTCAGGAGTCCTTACGGCTCACTGACGCTGATCTAAGAGAGAGTAAGAGCTTATACAAAGAGTGCTTTGCGCAACAATGAAATTAAATAACAAGTAACAATAAGACAAATATTAGTGTTTTTTTTTTAATGGATGATAATGGAATGGTATCCCCACCAGCGCTATTGGTATACACCGGCGGGGCACCAGTGAAGGATGATAGGTGAGGATGAAGTAGATCAGTTAGCCCATCGTGACGAATTCAACAAGAATTGTTCACGATGGTTTTCAGGGGGAAACACGTGGAGGTCGACCTGATATGCTAGCAATGTCGAACTCCATTGCTAACAATCCCTTTCCCCCCAAATATTAGTGTTAAGTCAGTATATAATATAAAACATATATGAGATACATGGAATATATAGATAGATACATAATAAGTGATATAGTAAAAAGAAAATATGAATCAAATTTTTTTACACTAAAATCTAATTTGATACAAGTAAGCTGACATAGCCAGTTATCTATTCTATGCCGTGAAGACGTGACCTATTCTATGCCGGGACCACACGCCAAACTACACAGTCTACTACGTATGCCACCTTTTTTATCTATCTAAATATTGTGAGCAAGGGTGGACTTATCTCTGACAGAGATCTCTTCCAGTCAACCCAATGCATTTAGAAAGCATGTTGTTAGCAGGCAGCTGAAGTGCTACAACTATTAATATTTAGAGTACATAAACAAACATACAGTTTAATAAAATATTAAGATACATAATAAAATATTACATAAATACGTATGTTAAATAAATATAATATCTACCTACTTATACAATAGATTGCCATTTTTCAGAAGAAAAAAATTGTATGATTAAATATTTAAAAAGAGCTCCGATAGTGAAAACGTTCGATCCGGATAGATGAAAGATGAGGGTTCACGTTCAATCATGGTGTCGGAAAGTAGTAAAAGTTTTCAATTTTTTATTTAGAACTACCTATATCCTGGCATTTCACTCTCGTGAATCCGTATATAACGTGCCGAGTTAAAATATATCCTACTCGTGTACCAAATTTCTTTCAAATGTGTTCAATAGTGTTTGCGTGAAAGAGTAACAAATATGCATTTAAACATCATTACAAACGTTCGCATTTTGGGGGGAAAGGGATTGTTAGTAATGGAGACTAAAAATCCCATTGCTAGCAATATACCCAACCAGGTCGATCTCCTCGCGGTTCTCCCTGGCAACTATCATGGTTATTTCCTGATGAATTCATCATGATGGGCTAACTGGTCTGTTTTCATTCTCATCTATCACCCTTCACTGGTGGAGCACCGTATCACCGAGCCAGCGTATCCCGTTAGCGCAGGCGGGGTTACCATTCCATTTTCATCCACCAAAAAAAAAACGCATTTATGATATTAGTAGATTTCCGTTATCTACTGGAAATATATGTATGGAATGTACATTTTTAAATATTTTAAAGTAGAGATCTTTATACTGCTTGTCATAGTACCAAAGTACGTATTTAATATTTTAAAAAAGTACTATTTGCTCTTGACTACAGAGGAGTGGCGCAGTAATAAGACTGTCGCTTTAAGAGCCAAGGTTCTATGCTCGGTCGGGGTAATTTAATAAACAAACTTTATGAATGAATAAGAATAAATAACTCCGTGTGGTCCCGGCATAGAATGGGCCACCTTTTCCTTTCCTGTAGGTGTCGTAAGAGGCGACTAAAGGAACTTAATGATAGAGTGATGAACAGCAGTGTCCCTCTTAAAATATCTAAAAGCCTAACTGCGATTGCCAATGCACCTACCAAACGTGGTAACTACAGGCAAAGCTCCTCTTATAGTGAAGACTTGTGTTCATCAGTGGACAGATAACTGCTGGAATAATGATGATGAAGAATAAATGTACAATACGCTAATTACGATCGAGTAAATATTATCTGTACGTTCACAAGCATTATTTTAATAAAACATATTATTATATGATATAAACCATAATCAATTAATTATTTCTTATATTGTCACTTATTATAATCAAGAAAATGTTATACAGAACATCTTCGTTTATTTCAATATGTCGCTCATCGCCGAAATAGCTCAGTTGGGAGAGCGTTAGACTGAAGATCTAAAGGTCCCCGGTTCAATCCCGGGTTTCGGCAGTTTCTTTTTCTTTTTACGTTTAGTTTTCTTTTTTTTCTTATTAGTATATGTAAAATTTAAATCTGTTATATAGATTTTAATAATTATATTATAATTTTTCTTCACTATTTTTTATACTACACTCTTTTAGCAGGACCTCTGCTTAATTTAGGACAAAATAATTTATGTTATAGGCTACGGTAAGCGCTTACCATCAGGTAGGCCGTATGATTGTTTACCACCTTAGTAGTAAAAAAATATTGCCAAGAAATAAATATACGTTATTTATTTATTTATTATTATTTTATAACAAACAAATACAATTCAACACAAAAAAAACACCATTTTCAATCGTGACAGATCTAATTGTTTCTATTTAAAACCAAACTGCTCAATAAATTTTGATGACATTTCTATGGGACTAATTTGAAAACCTTTCAAATAAAAAAAAAAAGATTTTTCCTAATCGGTTTATAAATAAAAGTGTCCCACAAACACTGACTTCATTTGTGACAAAACCAATTATTTTATTTAAAAAAAAATTACTGAACCGATTTTGATAAAATTTCTACCGGACTAATCTATAAGTATATTCCTTCAGGTAAAAGAAATTCTAAACCAGTTTATAACTGACGTAGTTATGAGATAATAAAAATTGAAAAAAAGAAACAAATTGTGAAAAAAATAGAAAAAAACAAAAAATCGGTTGAAAAATACAACCAAATTAATAATCTCCCATTTTGAAGTCGGCTAAATATCTGTTAATTTGTTCCAGGTACCACAGCATACGACACGGTGCGCCCCCTAGCGTACCAGGACGCGAGGATTTTCATGCTGTGCTTCAACATAGCTGAACCGGACTCACTACATAACGCAGCGGCCAAGGTAAGCTACATCCCAGCTATATCAATCTAGGATTGAAGTGTCTCCACTATTGTTGGTAATAATCTTTACATACATACATATCTGTCACGCCTGTCTCCCATTAGGGTAGGCAGAAACAATGGAACGCCAAATGCTTCGATTCAAACAAACCTCTTTCGCTTCTTCCACATTCATCAATCTTGTCATACACGTTCGCCGGTTACGGGTACTTTTAATTTGCCCCTTCTTCAGCACGTCGCCAGTATTAGTCTTTACTCTGGTAATAAGGTTTAAATGGGGGAAAAGGGGGTTAGCAATGGGGTTTGACACGGTCTTGAAACGGTCTGGAAACAGTCTTAGGTTTTGCTTTATGAATTTATCACTATGGCCTACATCATCTGCTTTCATCCTCATCTATCATCTCAGTGATACTCCACCAACGTATACCAATAGCGTAAGCGGGGTTACAATTCCATTTTCATTCATAAAAAGACTATTTATTTCCTTTTTTTTCCAGAACATCGTTCATTCGTTATTCGTATCACAAATGTATCGCTTACATACTTGTTCAATAAAATCGAGTAAGTCACCTATCTTACATAATATTCGGAGGGCGAAAACTGTTCCGAAACGAAATCGGCGTCATTTCCTTGATCTTTAAAAAATAAGTTTTAAAGATCACATTGCTAGCAACACTATTGCTAGCAGCACGCTATCAAGTCGACAACCTTGCACCGTCCACTGCTGAACATTGGCCTCTCCCATTAAAGGAAATTTTGCCAGTAGTTGCCACGCTTGGCAAATTGGCAACCGCAAGTAGGCTTTGGGTGATCTTTTAAGAGAGACGCAGCTACCCATCCCTTGACCATTAAATTCCCTTAATCTCCTATTACGACATCTACGAAAAATGGAAGAGGTAGCCCATTCTTTAAATATATATATATATATATTATTTCTTAATGTAGTATCAGGATAACATATTGACATTTCTAATTAGTCGTTCAGGAACTATGAAAACAACATTCAGAAGTTTTTGTATGATGCCGAATCCAACATACAAATAGAAAAAAAAAATTACCAGAAGGAGACTTTGTACAAAAGTCGATTGCTTGGGTACCTCTATCCCATTCGTGTTTCAACCGTGAAGCAGTTGTGTTTCAATGGCTGTGTTTCGGTTTAAAGGGTGAGATATGGCGTGAATTTACTGGGTACAGAGGAATAACACCTGAGTCCTCAAGAATGGCAACGCATGAGAGGTATCATGGGTAAAACAGTATACTCTGTTATGTCCATGGTACTGGTCATGTCTATAGGCGACGGTTACCACTTTCCATCAGGTGGGCCGTCAGCTTGTTTGCCATTCTAAGTTGTATAAAAAAAAAAAGGTGGGCCGTCAGCTTGTTTGCCATTCTAAATTGTATAAAAAAAAATCAAAAACTTATCGTTTTGGCTTCTGTTGCTCTTCTAAAACTCCTCACATACATTTTTCTTAAATATCTTCCATATAGAAAGATTACGTCTATTTACAATTTCATTATATTAGTAAAATTCTTCAGTGCAGCTATTTTAATACAAAATTCATTCCCCTAGGTATCTGAAACACTGAAAAGACGTCACTGGACAAAAGTTCTCGGAACATTTTAATAAGATTAAAACGTGACCTGGTGAATTTGTAGCGGAACTAAAATATAACGGTACCGCGTCATTTCGTTTTTACACCTAATTATATTCTGACAAATTACTAACGGTGGATAATATATGGCAATATCTATATATTGCAGTTAATATCATATAATGAATATATTAAATATTGGGTATTCAATTTACAATATCGAAATGAAGGACAATTAATCCCTAAATGAATCCCTAAATATTTTAAAAGTAGACTTTAAGTCTACTCTTAAAAATATTTAGGCATCTTCTATCTCTATGAACATATTTTTTTTTACAACTTAGAATGGCAAACAAGCTGACGGTCCACCTGATGGAAAGTGGTAACCGTCGCCTATAGATATGAGCAGTAACATGGACATAACAGAGTATAATGTTTCGCCCATGATACCCCCCATGCGTTGCCATTCCTGAGGACTCAGGTGTTATTCCTCTGTACCCAGTAAATTCACGCTATGTATTAATCTATATGTATATGTGTATTTATGCGATTAAATATAATGTAATTAATTATGTATAAATTTAAGTTTGTCTAATTCCTTTGTTTTTGAACATTTTCACAATATTGTACACCGCTGACATTGATGCTCCTTTCCACTTTGGATTTTCTGGAAGAGAACTCTTTAAAAGTTAAGCTCGCTCCTTTATTGTAATCGCCTTATGTATAATTGGTATGTACAATAAAGTATTCAATAAATTAATACAGAAATGTTAATGATACGGGCCACATCGAAATGAGTTTTTCCCACCATAAATGTTCAGTGTTATTTAATATTTAGCTATCGGAACAATACAGATGAAGATACTATTTAGCTATATACCTAAAAAAACCAGACAGACATGCCTAATTTGGTGTATCTAGAAACTATAATAATGTAATATCACAATCCAATTATCCGCATGTGCAGAAAATATAACAATGTATGCAAGGAGCTTGATATTTTCCAACAATCCTTGCAATGTTACATTAAGGCTGCCAATTTGTTACTTTAAATTTATAGCTGTCATTCTTTTAATGTATATAATATCGAATGTTATGCAGAGCAGTTATTGGAGTGCAAATTTAATGCCGTTTTATGTAATATTTATTTTATAAATGTATTACTTTGTAATCTGTTGCCTTGCTATAAATAAATAAATAAAACTATTGAAAGTTGTTACCCAGGATGTTTTAGAAAATGGATTTTGATGGATGGACACACAATTCCGACGTTGCCACGATTTGGTATTAACGTCACATACTAACTGTCCTAGTTAATATTATTTTACCCCACCACCATCGACCCAATCATTTTCAACCGACTTCAAAAAAGGTGGTTTTCAGTTATATTTTTCTTTTGTTTGTTACCTCATAACTCGGTCAGTTCTAAACGGATTTGGAAATACAAATTTGTCTCATAAAAATTTATTCAAACTAAGTTCATGGTTTTTAGATGAAAATAACTGCTTTTGACACAATTAAAGTCGTTTTTTTTTTAATGGACACCATTTTGAATTATATTCTTATCAATATAAAACTATCCTAACTTTTTAACAAGATTTTTCACACATTTCCAAAATCATTAAAATCGCTTGATCGCTCTTAGAGATTAGCGCGAACAAACATTGTGGTACGGAATTTTTATATAAGTATTAAAATGAATGCTCTTGACAAACACTCGTTCTTTTCAGTGGTACAGAGAAGTGCGTACACACGGCGGCGCGGCGCCGGTCCTGCTCTGCGGCTGCAAGGCGGACCTGAGGCATGAGAAGGAAACCCTCACTCTCCTCTCCAAGCTCAAGACGCATCCTGTCACTAGTGAAGAGGTCAATCTCTAATTTATTTATTTATATTATTTATTTAACTCTTTATTGCACCAAAAACATAAAAATAAACAATGACATAAACTATTCTACTGAAATACAGTAGCATGAAGTACAGATCAAAATATACATATAAAGGTACAAAAGGCGGTATTATCGCTAGAGCAATCTCTTATAGACGACCTTTGGTTAAAGGTTAGGTCTAGTGTAGTTAAAAAAATATGTGTGCATCATTTAAGTATGACTAGCTATATTCCGCAGCTTTACTTATCTGAGTCAGCATATAAGTATGCTATATGCTAAATTAGAATATAACCTACCCGTAAAAACATCCATTCATCCATCCTTACAAACTTTCACATTTATAATACAAATAAAGTTATTCACTCGTTCAACAAAAGGTTCTCAATACAATTTAGTCGGCAGTCTTTGATATTTTATATTTCCTATGACTTACAGGGTTAGGTGGACTGTTTTAATGATACGGGGCACTGGATTTTATCATTATATATATATAAAAAAAAAATACAAAGGCACTATGATGTTTCTAGTCACACACTTACGTAGGCAGAAAGAGAGCTCGACTGGGTATGAATGAATGAATATTGTACAGGCAGTTAAAGTAATATTTTCATAAATATTTCGAACGCCATATTTGTCCTCAATTTTCTTGGGATTTCTTCAATCACGATATAATTAAATCTCAATAATCTCTAATTTAATAGCATCAAAGTCCCTAAAATGTGTTTTGACAGTTGTCGTAAATTCTTAATAATATTCAGAAAGGCTTTACCTTAATTTAATAAAACGCAAAGTGTATTAAGCATTCAGTAAGTAAAAATAATCTTACAAAATTATCGGTAAAAGATTTCAATGTGAAACACCTTACCGAGAAAAAATTAGATTTTAGATATTTATTCTCAATAAGATTTTATTATCTTCAGCTCTTCTTAGATAATTTATTATTTTGTTTCAAACGAAATAATATCTAATAAATACAATAAATATGGAACCAATATAAAAATATATTCCTTTTATTAAAAAGGAATTATCGAAATCAGTTTAGAATGGCTAAAGATATAATTACTTTTGCTTTGGAAGTCGACGAAATCTTCTCTTAAGACGTTTCAAACTCGTCGAAAACGGAATTTAAAATTTCTTAATTATAAGCAAATATGTACAATATTACAATAATATATTTAAACCAAATTCTACAAATTAACCATAGAATGAGAAGAGACTTTCGAATTTATATAATTTCTTCCAGGCTCTGTCAGTAGCACGACAATTAGGCGCAACCACATACGTAGAGACGTCAGCGAGAGCTTCCAGCAAAGGAGTCAGGGATGCCTTTGAGGTGGCTGCTTTGGCGGCTCTGGGAAAACTGAATAAGCAGCAAATGAAACAGCAGGTGAGATTCGTATACTGAATAAATGAAATAGACCTTAATTAATTTATATATTAATCGTAACCAGAAATCAAACAGACGAGATAAATTTGTATTGTTGTTTAATTTAAATATTGATTACATAATCCTGATTGTACTTCTCTATTTATACTAAATTGCTGTGGAATATTTTTAATTTAATAATAAGCAGTCTTTATTCTACATATTAAAAATACTTTCTTTGACAGAAGCAAGTGGGACGCAGCAAAAGCAAACGCGACTTGAAAGCCGAGCTGAAAGGGCGGGCGAAGAGCTGCTGCGTCATGTGATCCGTAGCCGGCCACCCTTCGCGGTGGCCGCACGATTGCTAAGTGACCACCGCCTTTCCAGAAAGTTCTGCAAGCTCATACAAAAGAAAAATTCCAGCTCTTGGAATTTTACTAAAACGGAATATTTCTGGGCCTAAAATAGTGCCCTGAGTGACTCCCGACTCCAAATTTGTCCTTATTATGATGTGGAGAAATAAATACATTGACTTAATTACGCTATTGTCCGACGTAATGCAAAAGTGATTTAGAAATACTAAGACATTTCACGATTCTGAAGATGAGTGATAACATGGTTGAAAGCCTCGTAAAAGTCAAGGTTACTAGGAAAATAAAGAATAAGTTTTAGATTTAAATGGAAGTGGAACCGAGTTCGTTTCAAAACGTATTATGGACTTCCTGTCGAAGGTATCAGTGAAACTAAGGTGCGATGTAAAATAACCCCCAGGGTTGGAGCGTAAGCCTGTGATAATGTAAAAAACTAGAAATTCTGAAAGAAATGAATGTAGAAATGTTTAGAAATTTGTTTAGAAAGGCACTTAAACGCTCAGATCCAATAAAGATATAAATAAAAATAGAATTTTCATTTAACATAAATAGATAGTAAGTGGATATTTACAATATAATCATAAATTGTAAAAAACAATTCATATTAAAGTAGATAAATTAGGTGTTTTCATATACATCAAAATATACATTAAAATGATAACTGAATTATAATAAAGGTTTTTTTCAAAATGGTAGTGTTTTCAGGTTTGTTGCCAAAGTTATTTTGAAACCTGCCCTGATTTTTTTTTAAGTTAGATCAAATTTTAACATTCTAAAATGCTTGGTGGTTTGTTCATAGACAAATTCCACCAAATTTTATGGTTATTTTATAGCAACAAGCTAAAAGTCTTTCTTTGTGATATAAATACGTAATATAGTAAAAATAAATGCACAATTATGGACAATACTAAATTACGGAGGTCCATTTGCTAGTTAGTTCCACGTCCATGTTTGCTAGAAATTAGATTTTTGTACAATAACTGTGTATTAATAAATGTTGCTTGTATGTAAAAAATATTTTTTTCTAAAATGAGACATAATTTTCTTTATAGTTTTTACTAAGTTTTTTGCACCTGTTACACTATTTCTTTTTATGGTTATTTTAAATTTAATTCTAAATCCATTTTTTTTGTGTATATCCTACAATCTAAATTTCTATAATATATTATAAATATATTATAAAAATATTAATTTTATGATAACGAATAAAAAGCGAATTGTAAATTAACTGTTTCACTATCAATCTGTAAAATAATTTCTCATAAAAAGAAATAGACTAAACTTTATACTTAGAAATAATATTGTTAGGTGGATCAAAGAGTAATTGGCAACGTTAATAAAGGGCTCGTATTCAATTAGTTTTTAATTATAATTTTGATTGTTTAACGTACGTATAAGTCGATATCAAGCTTTAAATTCGATGTTAGCTTTAATTATCGAGTAAAAGTTATATTACATTAACTATTTAAAAAAAAAAAACAAATCTATAGATATTTAAAAAAAAAAAAATTATTTTTGTTCTACGTGAAGTTTTGAATAAATAATATGAATATTCATTATTGAAATTCGCTCTTAGTTATTTTATAATGATATATACATTACACATATCACTGTAAGTTGTATAATTTAATCGTAATTAAGTTATTTATGTTACTAACTCATTAATAATACTATTCATTTTACAACGGGGCTAAATGTCATGTTAATTTTATAAAAACATTGTTCTTAAAAATATTTTCCAATTTAGACAGTTAATTCAACATTAGGCCACTTTGAATGTTGTTTCTAGAATATTGAATATAGCGTTCAGTGTTTTGATAGTTGGCTTTTATTTTATTTCCTTGTCCTTCACATGACAGATATATAGACAACTAGCTACTTTTCACGGGTTTTCCTTCGTGAATAAAGTACTCTACGTTTTTTTTATACTACAAAGGTGGCAAACAAATATACTCCCCTTATAAGGGAGGCCTATGTCCAGCAGTGTCGAGTTGCTCAAATATCAAGACTATTTAAACGGACATACAAACTCACTTATATATTTATTTTATTTATTTATTAGTACATATATGTGTACATGGCGGACTTAATGCTAAAAGCATTCTCTCCCAGTCAGCCATAGTGTCAGAATACTCGAATGTGGTACTAGTAATTGTTGATATACATACATACTAAAATTACATATATAAACGAATAAATATATATAAATAACAAATATACTTACACATATATGACATATACTACATTATATACTAAATTGAGAATAATATAAAGTATTTATATATATATTCATCTAATAATATTAAGATATACTTTGATTCTATTTCTACAAAAAACTGGTTTTGATGCAAGCTGTAGCTACGAAGTTAATTCACGTCTAAAGTACTTTGAAAACTTTCTAGACAGTCTAAACCAAAGGTTTTCACAGATCAAAGGATATTTTAAAATCTGAATTCGTTTTCAGCTACGAGAAAGCGAAGGTTCTTTTTTGTAACGGCAAATAGTTTTTAATAATAACTACGTAATATTTAAATCTTAAATTATAAAGTATTTATTATATATATTTAATGTAAATACTTTATAATTTAAGATTTATATATATATAATATATTTATATGTATGTGTGTATATATATATATATATATATATATATATATATATATATATATATATATATATATATATATATATATATATATATATATATATATAACGAGCAGGATATTCACCTAAACAATATAAGCTCGAAGCTGATTTGGCGGCAGTATGAACAAAGCCATTTACTAATTATTTTTACGTTTCGTATTGGATTAGTTTTAACTAATTGTAGTAAATTGAAATTAAGTATGCTCTATATATTAATTCAAAGTCATAGCTATAAGGTAAGTTTTATTTGAAGTTCAACGCGATTACAATTTGACTTGAATTTTAGATTAAGGTGAAATATGGGTTATATCCAACATGAGAAATAGCAGATTCGTATTTCAGCTGTATTTTAAATTCGTATGGTTCGCGAAATCTTCGCCAATTTAAAGATAAGACAAGGATATTACCAGAGATACTGTCCTGCTGTAACTACACTCCACAGACGACTTTCTACTGGATTTTATTTTAAATTTTCTTGTCTTGTACTGCGATATATTGTGCTTTGTTTACATTTTTGTCTCTTACGACATTCTAGCAATAGAAGGGTGCGGTAACTAGTAGCGTTTTTCTTTGTCATCATAGGAATTTTATATCACATACAACGATATTTACGAAATATAACTGACTTTTTTTAATAATAGCACGGTATGTGATAAAACCAATATTAAGTTCTGTGTGATCGCGGCATAGAAAAGGCCATCCCTTCCTTTCCTGTGGATGTCGTAAGAGGCGACTAAGGAAACTCAATGGTAGAAGATGAGCAGAAGCGTCCCTCTTTTAAAAAGGCCGGCAGCACACCTGCAATGCCGTTGGTGTTGTGGGTGATCATGGGCGGCGGTAGTCACTTACCATCAGGTGAGCCGCATGCTCGTTTGCCCCTGTGTTATGAAAAAAAAATCACTAAAAATCTAACTATAGTTGCCAACCCGCCTGCCAGGCGTGGCAATCCTGGCATAACTCCCCTTATGGGGAAGGCTTATGTTCGACAGTGGACAGTTAAGGTTGATATAATGATGTGATAATACCTCAAATTACATAACCATTATGCATTGTACAATCAACTCATAGGGATCAACTATTGTATGAATATTTGAAATGATAATTTGAATTCCTACAGGGATAAATTGCTGAAGCACTTTGTACAACAATCTAATGAGAGTTAACTCTAATTATCATAATATATAATAATAATAATGTTTATTTATCTGTCAATTTTTTTGAGTACAATGAACAATTTATAATAATACCATAGATACATTAAAGTTGCAGAGAACTGGTGCCTGAACTGGGTATCCGAAGAACCCGTATCACAAGGCACCAGGACCCCTCCCTGGCATGAAACAGTTTATGGTAATATATACAGTTGGAGAACATAAAAGTTGTTAGGCGTAGCAGATACAATACAAACACATGATAATACATATACACACATAGTTATATAATATTTAAAAGCTTAAATAACAATCAGTCAAACTGGATATAAATTAGCAAACAAAGGCAAGGTAATATATTATGTATATATATTTTTTTAATATTTTTTAATTCAATTCACTCATAATCGTATTTTCTGATATTGCTCACAACTTGGGTTACATGTTTGTTTTTATTATTTACTTCATTTTCTCGCACTGCATAACTATGTTAAAGTAAATGCTGTGAATACCTATAATAGGCATGTGCATTAATATTGTATTATATTTAATGTTTGTTATACCTATATGTTATAATGCAATATGCTGTTGGTGTTCCTTAAATAAATAAATATGTTTACCTAACTTATTAGTTGATTCAACTCGTGCTTTATTATTTTTAAAACATATGTACAATTTTAAATATGTCTATTTCCATAGGTATATAACGGGATATTAACCAACTTACAATGTTTGCCTTTTCCAACAATTGTTTCTACTTCACCCGAAAGTCTTCTTCAGAGGGCGTAAGGCGCATTACGTCATAGCGTTTCACCTCGCACTATATACATGTATATAGACATCGCATTTACCGATTTTTCATGCATCGTTTGGAAAGTCGTGGATTCCAGCTACGTATCTATGCAGATATTGGGTTCTGTTTTTAGAGTACCTTTCCTTAAATTTATCTTTAAATTTTCAATTTTTATTCGGGACTTTAGCAAAATTATTAGAGTGCGGACCATCTAGAATGGAAATAAAGTAATTCTACTAAAAATTTAGTTTATATTGATCCTTGAAATAATCATTTCGTTATAATACCAAATTTAAATATTAATTTTAAAAAGATAGAATGCTACTTCTGACTCGAATTACTGTATTAAGACACCACTTCTGTTCATCCCCAGAATATCGTAAGAACTAACAAAAGAAATGAAGTACAATATCACATAAGAAAAACTCAAAATAAAATTCTATACCAAACCGCCTGGCAAAATAGTGAGTTATATCCTCTTTGCATGGGGAAAAACCTGTTGCTAAAAGTTACTGAGAATACCTGTGTACGGGGGGGAAAGGGATTGTTAGTAATGGGGTCAAATAGCTCTATTACTAGCAATATACCCTGTCAGGTCGACCTCCACGTGGTTCCCCCTGGAAACCATCGTGACTAATTCTAGTTTAATTCGTCAGGATGGGCTAACTGACCTACTTTCATCTTCATCTGTCATCCCTGACTGGTACCCCGCCAGTATATACCGATAGCACAAGCGTACTATTCCATTATCATTCATTAAAAAAAACACCTGTGTACGAAATACATTACAAATACTCAAAACTACACAGTGATGGACGGAAGCTACGCTTTGTTTCTGAAATAAATCATCCTAATGCTTCCAACCCTTTTAATCTGAAGGGTTTATTTAGTCGTATGTAGCATGATAATAAATCAGAGATTTAGTGAGCAGCAAATCTATTTTACTTAACTTTATTACATTAAATTTACGAATATAGGAACTTCTTAATTATATATAAATTATAGATAAAGTCAGATGGAAATCTAAAATGTTTTTTGTTTAAATAAATAAATTTTCAATAGTAACAAAAATCGAAACCAATTATTTCGATTTAAAAACTAAGCTGCAGAACAGACTTTTATAAAATTTCTATGGTTCCAACCAAATAATCATATCCTTTCAAATAAAAAAACATACAAATCTGTTTACTACTAACTTTATAAATCCATAATAATCATAAAAAAAAATGAAAATTTGCCTCTTTTTGAGTCGGTTGAAAAGTAAATCAATCAAGAATGCAAAAAGACTTATCAAGATTGTTGAATACTGCTGCTGCTCCAGTACCTATAGTAATATCTGGTATTTCTATTTTCAATATATAGAAGAAAAAGAAAAATTAAATATATAGGTATCATCAATATTACACGTTAAACAAGCTCCTCTTTGTAAAAGTTTCGGAAGTCAATAATTACAAATAATTACAGCAAAACATGCCTTTCCCATTAGGGGAATTCTGCCAGTAGTTGCGACGGTTGGCAAGCGGGTTGGCAACCGCAGTTAGGCTTTTAGAGATGTTGAAAGAGGGACGCTGCTGCCCATCCCTCGACTATAAGTTTCCTTAGTCACCTCTTACGACACCCACGAGAAAGAAAAGGCTGGCCCATTCTATGTAGGGACCTGTTACGGGGTGGGTCAGATGAGACTTTTTAAAAAGAAAATTATTTTAATTAGCACGAGTCTTTATTATGAAAATTAACAAAGCGTCTTGTTCGTCTGAGGTTCAAATCCGGTCTGAATTAAAATATATCGAAAAATCGCTGGAAATGGATGGTATGACGCATACCTTATTGTTAACCGCTGACTGTTTCGAAAATGCAGTTCAGCACTTTTATGTTCGTATGTTGTACATAACCACGGCTATATAACAACCCCCCCGTTAAGATTTATCATCATAGATGAAAATGATGATAAATTCAGTATGATAAGATGTGAAACTCAGTCGGACAAATAAAGAATGAGCCTTAAGTGCTAGACATAAGATATAGAATTATATAGAAGTGATTGATATAGTAAAGTTAAGGTTTAAAAATAGTTAAAACATTCGTAATAGAACATAAATAGAAAACTAAATGAACTAATATAATTAACAGTTGGTAATAACTAAATTATTATTTATGTTAGAGTTACATTCAAAATTATTAGAATTAAGTGAATACTAATAATAGACAAATAGTAAAGTTAAGATGAACCAGTGACCCAGTGATTCTATAATATCTAACTATTTAACTAAGTATAATGTTGTTTTTATTTAATTCTGATATTGGGATGACTTTTTAAAGATAATATTTCTTTTTACTGGAGTTGGATTCTGGATCTCTAGTTCTTCGGTATCTGAAGAGTCGGTGATTTTATTTGATTTATCAATAGTGCTTACAACTTGTATAGGTTGTTTAGAACCAGACTGTTTATTGCTACAGTTATTAAATATTTGAACACAGTAACGTGACGAATCTCGTTTACACATAAATTTTCTACTCTTATATAACAGATACAATAGAAATATAACTGAAACAACATAACTTACAGATATATATTGAACACTATATTTTTGAAAATGTGTAGGATTTTCTAACTTGTCTAATTCCTTTTCGAAACTGTCTAGATGGACACTAGCATGCAAAAGTGAATCTAAATTATGAACATTATTTAATTTTACGAAAGGCAATTTCGATAAAGTTTTATTTAGTTTATTCTTTTCGCAACAGTCATCTTCGATGAGGTTGAAATTTGAAATTTCAGTAGTAGCGCTTACATTTAACCTTATGCTATTCTTATACGTAAACTGGAGAGTTTTGAAAAATGCTTTACAATTTTCTTCTAACTTGAATATACCTATACCAAACAGTAATTCATTATAATTATTGGAATCATTATCACAGGAAATGTGACATTTCCCGGGTTCCGATTGGACATAGATCCATCGATTGTTACTTATTCTATGAAACGTGTCTATGTTACCTTTTAAAAGTTTCACTTCACAAGAGTTTGGCAATTTACTCACTACTTCCGTTATCAACACTATTTCGCACATTGGCCGCGCAATAGTAGAAAACACGTTGTTTAAATCACACACATAGTATTTATCACTTATTAGCTTGCACTTGGAAACATCGTCAACAAATGAATAAAACAAATGATCAGCTGTTATTGTCACATAACGAGCAGTCGGCGCGATTAGCGCATAGGTGTCAGGTTTTGAGATATCATACGGCACTGGAATCGGTATTACATGGTAAAGATTATAAAGTTGAGGAAGGACGAGCGGTATTTTTATAACTACAATAATTCTACTGTTATGATAATAACAAACTAGTTTAGATGCATCTATGATATCATGTATATTTTGTAGTGATAAGGATACAGGGAGTTCGCAATGCTTAGGCAAGTTATTTGTATTGCGTTCGAGCTCATTATATAATTGATGTGGACTTAGTACAGTCGGATGCAGAATATTTAATTTGCTAAATAGTATTGCGTTATTAATATCTTCTATATCGAACGATAATGTAATAATTATGCTGTCAAGGCAATTTAACATAGAATTTAAGTGGGTTTTTATTTCTAGCTTATCATTAGAATTTGTAATTTGTTCAAACATTTTATTGATAATATCAAAATTTTTATTTAACCTATTTTCGTTTTCAGTGACTTTGTACAATGTGTCATTAAAGGTAGATACTGTAGACTTTATAACATGAATATTTTCTTTCATTAAATGAGCTAATTGTTTTTCGTCTGACTGTACATCATCGATAGCTTCTGAGAATTTAATAGCGTCATTCGAATCTAATGTTCCGAACAAGGATTTGAGTAATGATCCACCTGCATCTATCAGACCTCTCTTAACGCGAGGCTGATGTCCATAAATAAGGTATGATATAGAAGAAAACTTTTTAACATTATTAACGTGTAGACTTTGTAGTGATGAAAGAGAATTCGAACAGTCCGTTTGAACTTTTGAAGAGGCGAAGTTTTTACAAAATGTGTTTATTTTTTCGAATAACTGTTCTACATGACTTAAATGAGGCTGGACGCGAGCTATATCCATATATGTTACAACGTTCCATTCGTCGTTAGTATACTTTACATCTAATAACTTATCAAAGAATAATCCGGGACTGCTTATTATCGGTGAGACAAACTGACGGCACGAGCACAGCATTGTGACGTGTCTGAAATGAGACGGAGAAGGATACTATATACAGTGATTCACAGGTTGGCAGGTTTTATTTCGTCATAGTGATGACGTACATGTCTACGGTTGATCAAGAGTGTCACTGTATGATTGCCGTTTATTTTAATGATTTTATATGGACCTTTCCATACTGGCGACAATGCTTTGTTTTGTTTGTGGTGACAACGTATGTACACCATATCGCCGGTGTTGTATGTTACTGGCCTAGAATGGGAATCGTAATATCTTTTCGACCTTTCTTTTGAATTGTGTATGTTTTGTAATGCTTTATTACGACTATAGTATAACCTATGATTAAGTGCGCGGATATAGTCTGTATATGTATTATTTTCTAAACGATCTATGGATTGAGGCGTATAGGGTTTAAATCCTAACAAGAGTTCGAGAGGGGAATAACCTGTAGTCGAATGAACATTAGAGTTATATGCTAACATGGCAGTATTTAGGTAAAGGTCCCATGTATGATAATTTTCGTCTATGTAGGATCTTAAATATTCTTTTAACGTTGAATGACTTCTTTCTAATGCACCACAGGTTTGCGGATGGTATGGTGATGCGAATATATGTTTAATTCCGAAAAGTCTTTCTAATTGTTTAAATACATCTGAACAAAAGTTTGTACCTTGATCACTGACAATATTTCTTGGTATACCAAGATGAGAAATGAAATGAACTAACATCTGGGCTGTTTCTTGGGCTGAGCAAGTTAGCATTGGATAGGCTTGGGAATACTTAGTTAGATCGTCTTGTAATGTTAAAATGAATCGATATTTATTTGGTGTAGTCTCAGGTAAAGGGCCTACAATATCCAGAAATATTTTTTCAGTGGGTTTTGTAGCAGTTGACGTGATTATCATCGGGGCTCTACCCGTATGACGCATGGGTTTGTTGATTTGGCAAGATTTGCATGCTTTGACATAGTTCTCTATATCTTGGTACATGTTTTTCCACCAGTACATTGTTTTAAGTTGATCATACATACGTGTAATACCTGGGTGACCTGCAGAGGGTGAGTCGTGGTGGTCCTTTAATATTTTAAGGACCTCAGGAGGAGTCGGAAATAGGATGTTATTGTGATATATGTGAATTTTGATGCCTGTGTTGTGAAATAGGAAAGATAACATATTGTAAATTTTTAAGAATGAGATTTTGTTAAAAGGGTCTTTAAAATCTGAGATGGCGAACTCCTTTTCTTCTATGTACCAAGTAGTTATCATATCTCTATAATCTCGCAGCATATTAAATATATCTTTATAAGAGATTTCATCGTAGTGATGGACTCGTAAAAATAAATGTGTGAATATATGTTTGTCATTTGAAGTACTATAAAATGTGTATAATTCGCGCTCTATGTTTCGAATATCATTTACGTCGTTCTGATTTTTGGATAATTGTATAATTTCAGAACAGTATGGGATAGAGTCGTCAAGATCGATAGCAGACGGGTAAGTGATCATCTTGCATTTAGCTTTAAGCAGTGATTCATTATGTTCTTCTATTATAGTGTTGTAAGTATTATTTTGTTGTTGACTAATTTGTAAATACTTTTCGTAAGTTTCAGATGTGGAAGGGACATCGGAGTCAACAGGAAGAACATGTTTAGAGGAAACTGAGGTAGGACTTTGGGTATTATTATTATTAATATAAAAATTGTTTTTATATGTTTCAGATCTAACAGCGATTTCTGGACCAGTGAAAGGAATGGGGTTACGAGACAGAGAGTCGGCATTGCAATTGATTTTTCCCTTTTTATATACAATTTCGTAATCATACTCCTCGAGCTTGAGTCTCCAACGGATTAATTTTGAACTGGGATCTTTACAGTTAAACAGCCACTGTAGGGGTTTGTGATCTGTGACGATATGGAACTTTCGTCCGTAAAGATATGGACGGAATACTTTCGTGCCAAAAATTATAGCGAGACACTCTTTCTCGGTGGTAGAATAGTTACCTTCGGCTTTATTTAGAGTTCGAGAGGCATATGCTATTGGTAAATCTTTATTTATTTCGCCTTGGGATAGGATTGCGGAGACGGCGTGATTGGAGGCATCGGTGGTGAGTACAAAAGGTCTAGTAAAGTCTGGATATTGCAAAATTGGTGCAGTAGTTATCTTACTTTTAAGGAGATCGAAAGCATTCTGTTGATCGCATAGCCAAACGAATTTTGTGTCTTTCTTTAGTAGGCTAGTTAAAGGTTTCGTGATATGTGAAAAGTTGTCTATGAAGCGGCGATAGTAACCAACTAGTCCCAAAAACGACTTTATGTCACGTGGGCTTTTAGGAACTGGGAATTTTTGTACGCATTCGACCTTTTTTGGATCAGGTTTCACTCCTTCATCTGATATAATGTGACCTAAATACTGAACTTCCCTTCTCAGAAACTCACTTTTATCGGGTTGAAGTTTTAAGTTATGTTCACGTAATTTTTCGAATACATGTCTTAATTTACGAATATGGGTATCAAGGTCATGACCGAAAATGACTATATCGTCCATATATGTGAAACAGTGTATACCCTGAAGACCGGACAGTGCGATGTTCATAAGTCTTTGAAATGTAGATGGAGCATTTCGAAGGCCAAATGGCATTCTATTGAATTGGTAATGACCTGGTTGTCCGAAAACACCGGGAACGCTGAAAGCGGTTTTTTCAGCATCAAATTCTGACATTTCTACCTGATGAAAGGAAGATGCTAAGTCAAGTGTAGTAAAATATTTGCTGTGCCCCAATTGATCTAATATATCCGTGATATTGGGAATAGGATAGGCATCTCCTATTGTGATTTCATTTAACTTTCTATAGTCGATTACGATGCGCCACTTAGGCTTACCAGATGCATCTTGTTTTTTTGGTACTACCCAGATAGGGGCAGACCTCGGGGACACAGATGGAGATATGATACCTTGATCTAACATATTCTTTACTTGTCTACTAACCTCTTCCTTATGGATTTCGGGGAAACGATAACTTTTAACGTGTATAGGAGTTTGTGATGTTGTACGGATTTCATGTTTAATTGTTTTTGTTGCGGTTAATTGGTCTCCCTCTAAATAAAATATGTCGTGAAATTCCGAACATAAAGTACGCAAGGCGCCTTCTTCCTCTTTATTCAAATGCTCACAGCGAAGCGCGTCTTGAATTAATTTTTCTCGATTAAGACTAGAGATAGAATTTTCGGGAGAAACGTAATTAATAAATTCGAAAGAGTCTGAATTGCTATTTTCCAATATGAATGAAACTGGTTCTAAGGTTAATTGTATGGAACGTAGTGTAACATCATGTTCCGATGTATTTAGTACTGATACATTTACTTTACCGTTAGGTTTGACTTTAGTGAGGCATTTCGAGAAACAGAGTTTTCGATAAGCTTGCAATGTCGTATTTAATATCAATCCTTCTTCTAAGTCCGGATTAGAAACTGAACACTCTATCAACATTTCACTTCGGGCCGGAATTACATAAATTGGTTCAGCAGTTTTTAATTCGAAGAATACGTGAGGCTCGTCGGAAACTTGTAATTTTGATTCTGAATAAGATATTGTCGCTTTGTTAGTAGTTAGGAAATTAGAACCTATAATTCCATCATAATCAAGGTTCACATTATCAACAACATGGAAATAGAATGGGAAAGAAATTTTACTATTTAATTTTATAGAAAGCATTAATCTGCCTTTTGTTTCCGAGTAGGAATTGACATCGTTAATTCCTTTAAATTTAACCGTGTTCGACTCAAGATTCAGTGGACTTGTTAAACTAGATGCTTTTACTAAACAAATAGAACTACCTGTATCTATTAATAGCTTAAGGGTTTTTTTTGAATGAGACGTATTAACTTGGATGTATGGGAGAGATGTTTTCTTTGATTGAGATATGTCATAGATCATGGGACATTCCTCTAGGTCGAGTCGGTCTAGTAGATTTTGTTTTTTTATAGGTTTGGACACAGTGGATTTAGAAATTTTTCGTTTTTTTATATTAAGAGAGGTATTTTCACTGCCAGTGGCACGCTCATGCGAAATAGAAGACAGTGGAGACTCAGAGGGACCATCATTACGGATTGGCTCAGGTGCCGAGATAGAAGTTAATGATGAGTCGGATTCAGTGGACTTGTTAGGACTTTTGGATACAGTGTAATTATTAGATTCAGTGGATACAGTGTTAGAAACAGTGGAAATAGAATTATTATTAGATACAGTGGATTTATTACGATTCTTTGAAACAGAGGATATAGTGACCATATTGGGTAATTTTATCGATTTCGAAGAAATTGGTTCAATTGTTTTTGCGCCTTTCTGAGTATCGGGCATCGGGCGGCAAAAGTTTGATACCCGATATTTCAGTTTAAATGATTGTTGTCATTGTTTTCATTACACAGAACTGGCGACGGCGGCGATTCGATTGAAATTTGGTTTTGCCTGTAATATGTTTGGTTCCTGTTACCTTGGTTGTGAAACCTCGAGTTATTATATTGTCGCTTTCGGCATTGGGAAATATCATGACCTATATTTTTACAATACCTACAAATAATAGGTGAAGAATTTTCAGAGGCAAGTTTACCTTGATATGGCGTAAACGCTGAAGGCTTGTAGGGCACAAGAATTGGTTGGCTACCATGACTTACGCGTCTCTGTTTACTAAAACACTCATTCTCGGAATGTCCTAGCTTTCCGCAAACTTTACATTTAGACTTAGAAATAGAGTTATATATTAGATTTTGTATTTTCTCCTCTTCTAAGGCTATATTTATAGCATCATTTAAGCAATTCGGTTGCCTTGAACGCACAATATTACATAATTTAGGATTTAACCCTAAACAAAAAGTGAACAAAGCTAGATCCTCTGTCATTGCGATTCTATATCCTTTTTGTATGAGTCAGAATTATGGATTTCGGTTTGTAAATCGGTTAAACAGCTTTCGATTTTTAATGCAAATTGGGCGACTGACTCATTTGCACTTTGTTTGCATGACTGTAAGTCTAATAGAAGATGGTTATAATGTTTTCTCTCTCCAAAATTTTGTCTTAAAAAGGACTTAAGGTCCTCAAAATTTGAAAAAACTTTGTTTGAGCATGTTAACTGAGCTTTTCCTTCGAGTCGTGATATAATAAATTTAAATAGTAAATTTTTTTGATTCTCCGACGCAAGCTCCAAGGCATTTTGGCAATTAGTTAAAAATGCTGTAAGCGTTTCGCGTTCTCCCCGATATGTATTTATAAAATTACATAGAACTTGAATGGGGAATGGCTCATTAAGAGACATTTCTGATTTGCTCGTCATTTCTCTGCTATATAAAATTGGAAGAAATGGAAAAGAAAGTTGAAAGTATGCTCTGACTGAACGTGACAATAACAGAAATACAAATGCTTTACTCACAGGATGACAGCTAGTTGTAAACTCGAGGACATCGCGAAGCGGAGGTA